CAGGAGCACAGGGAGACAGGGCGGGGCGGCCTGAGTCCTGGGGGTGGCTGGGTGCTGTCTGCACCCCACTGCTTCCAGTGGTCCCTGACATCCAGTACTGGGCCAGAGAGTGTGTGCGACGAAAAGTCTCGGGCAGGCCCACACGCTGCCTGCTCTGCCCCACGGCCCTACCTCCCCAGACACACCTGGATACCTGGACCCGCCGTTCCCTCCTCCTACCTGGGTCTCCGGCTCTCTGCCTCTCTGGCCCCGGCACCAGCAACCCCTTTGCCCGTCTGTCTGTCTGTCTCCTGGGCATCGTCTCCCACCAGAGCTAAGCTCCTGAGGGCTGTGCTGGCACAGAGCGGGTGATCAGCAAATGTTTGTAGAACGAATGCACACGTGGCTCGCTGCCCAGTCCTGCCAGTGCTGCCCACCCTCTTCACACCACGTCCCCTCTGTTACCAAAACGCCCGTCAGCCCCACCCCTTAGCAACTCGCCTCTGGAAATCTGGGTGATTTCCAGATTTTTCACTATTTTGAGAAAATGTCTCCTCTTCCACGATACACTGTGTAGCTCTCGACAGGCAGGTGCCTTCCTGGAGGGCAACTGCCCACCGGCCGGGCGCACACAGCTCATTAGCTGCTGTAACAAAGCACCAGACTTGGCGGCTTAAACAACAGAATCGATTCCCTCCCAGTGACGGCTGCTGGCACTCCAGGTGGGGGAGGACCTGCTCTGCCACAGGCCGTGGGGGGCAGTCCTCCTTGCCTCTTCCAGCCTCTGCTGGCTGCTGGCAACCCCTGGCGTCCCTTGGCTTACAGACGCACTCCCCAGCCTCTCCGTGTCCCAGGCTCCTTCTAATAAGGCCACTGTTGTTGGATCAGGCCTGCCCCGCTCCAGGTGCCCTCATCTTAACTTGATTACATCCGCAAAGATCCTTTCACAGATTCCAAGTGGACTTGAATCTGGTGGAGATGGTGGGATGGTTACACCGGTGCCCTGGGTATCGTAAGTGTGGCCAGAGGGCTTGCACAGGTGACTGGCCATTGCGCCCGTCATTGTCAGCACGCGGCGTCCACGAACATCCGATGTTTGCCTCTGGAGAGAGTGTGATGGCGCTCGCCTACGTTGTTTGTACTTCCCAGTAAAATGGCCCATTTTCAGACATGTGACGGCCACTTAGGAGTCCTGCCCTGAAAAGTACCCTCTCAAGTCTTTTGTCTAGTTGTCCTTAGAATCATGGCTCTTGCTTGTTGATTTGTAGGAGTGACGGCTCTTCTTAATTCCCCTCCTTCGGTTGATTTGCGTCACAAACGCCGGCTCCCACTTTATGATTTGTCTTTTCATTCATTTACAGTGTCTTTTGATGTAAAGCAACCTTAACTTTAATAAACTCAAACCGGGCAGCCTTTGCCTCTGTGGTTGGTGATTTCTGTGGCTGGTGTCGGTACCCGAGGCCGTGGAGATCACCTCCAGTGGCGTCTTCGAGAAGCGTTGCCCGTACGTTTCGGTCTTGAATGTGCCAAGAGTTGATTTGGCAAGTGGTGTGAGACCTGGATACCCGGCGGGTCCCACGGGGAAGCCCCTCCCCCACTCGGCAGGCCGCTGTGGCTGCCTGTCGGTGTCTCCCGACTCCTGGCCAGCTCCCTTGGGCTGCCCGTCTGCTCTGGGCCAGTGCCACACGTCTCCATTTCTGTCGCTTTGCAGGGCGTCGTGGCACTGGTCAGGCAGGGCCCACAACCTTGCTTTTCTTGTTTGGAAACAACTTGGCCGTTCTCGACCCCCCTGCACTTCCAGGCAAGTTGGATGATCAGACTGTCAAGGTCCACCAAAAAATAACTAAATAAAAGCTAAAAAGTTTTTGTGGAGATTGAGTTAAATTCATGTACCAGTTTGGGGAGGACTGATTTATTTACATTATCGAGTCTTACAATCTATGAATGTGGTATAGCTCTCCATTTACTTATCCTATAATGTCTTTCAATAAACTCCTAGAATTTTTTTTATAATTGTCTTGCACTTTTTTTGGTTATGTTTAGATTGATGTGTGTTTTATCTTTTATTCTGTTCTAAATAGTATCAACTTTTTAGTTTTTTTCCTATAAATTCTGGCTGGGTGATAGAAATGAAATTGATTTTGCGAAACTATTTTTTAATCCAACCATCCAGCTAGCATTTCCATTCATTCTAATAATATATTTGAAGATTCTTTTGGGGTTTTTCACATACACAATTTTTTTTTTTAAGATTTTATTGGGGAATTGGGGCAGGGAACAGCGTTGGGGAATCGGGGAANACACGCTTGGCGACCTGGCATATTTCACCACAGTGTCTGGGGCCAGCCTGCTGCCAGCCAGACCGTTACAGAGAGCGTGGGACTCGCGCCCACTGCCACCACATCCTGTTGTCATCCAAGGGTCGGAGAGAGCACTCTTACTACAAAGGAGGGCCTGGGCCTGAGGGCTCCCCTCAGCGTGTCCAGTTAGAACCAGAGGACATGGCCCCGTGTGGCATGTCCCCACATTCCCTGCACCCAGGGAAGGGCCTGCACCACCAGCGGTTCCTGCCTTCTCGTGCCCCAACCCAGCTCCACAAGGGTGGGGTCTGCTTCCCCGTCCTCAGGGACACTCACACTTCACTGTTCCCTTCCGTGTTGCCCGCCTATCCCTAGCAGGTGTGAATAGAACATTGTGCACAGACAGCTGTGTCCCCAAAAGCTTGGTTCCCACCGCTCTCTGCTGCAGTCCATCCACGTGTGGGGGCCTGATGCGGCCCTGGGGTCAGGTTTCCTTGTCCCAGGTGTTCGTACTGCACCACCAAGCTCTAAAAGCCACTCAGGGAGTTCTACCATCCTCCCTGCCTTTGTCCCCTTAAATTATGGTGGCTTCTTGGCCCAACCCCATTGCTGCCATGACTGTGCAGCCACCAGCTGGTCTGATGGACAGTCAGCCTGTGGGACATGAAGCTGGCACCCAGCCCGCGTTAGCTGCAGGACACAAATGCAGCCAGCATGGGCTCGTCAGCCTTCCCGTCAGGTGAGATGCCTTCCCAAGCACCACTGACCTCTGGACACACAGACACATGGGGCACATGGACATGGGGCCCCACTTTTGTCTCCCTGAGCCTTTACTCAGGCCAGGCAGGTGCTCATGGGGTGTACATGCATCTGGGTACACAGATCGGGGTCCCTAGTCTCCACACAGCCTGGCCAAGAGCAGCCTTGGCCAGTCGTGGGCCAGCAGCCCCTCAGCCCGCAGAAGCTCTAGGCCCACCCTTCCCGGACCTGGTCAATAGAGTTCGAGCGTTGCCCTCAGAGCCTCACACACCTCCTGGGTTTTGCTTTGTAGCGGTGACGCTTACATCTCCAATTCAGAAAATCACTTCTCACAGTGCCAGGCTCTGCTGAATAAAATCTCATCCGTGAACCCTCAGATGGAGATCGACGGGCTTCAAAACATCTGGATTGTCAAGCCCGCAGCCAAGTCCCGGGGCCGAGGTGAGTTCAGAGGCCACGTGGCCAGGTCCCCCGCCAGGGCCAGTGGAGACAGCCCGCCGTGGCAGCAGAGCAGGCTGGATACTAGGGTCTGTGGGGACTCAGGATTCGCAGGCACCCAGTGGGTCCCAGGAACGGACACCTGAACAGGACAGGTCTCTGGGCTTATGTTCTGAGCTCTGCTAGTGAATTGGGTTGTCCCCATCATATTCCTAAGTGAAACGGAGCTACGGTTTTTTATCTTGATGGATCTTGGCAACAGGCTTGTGCTAGCCACGGAGAGGATGGGGACTCCCACCTCCAGCAGCAGAGGACTTCCGACTCCTCGGGTTCATCACAAACTCACCGTGAGCCCGGGAGCTCTTGGGGCCACTTCACACCGTGTTGGTTTTGCCCATGGTGACCGCGTGTGCAGCTTTCCTGTTGTGGCCGTGTTCTCTTTTTTATTCCTAATGGTGAATACTGTGTTCTTTTATATAAAACAAGATTTCAGGGTGGTTTTGTAATATTATTCAAAGAATCAACTTTTGGTTGCATTTGATATTCCTGTGAGGGATTCTTCCCGCCTTGGCTCTGACTTAAAGGCTAAGCTGATTTATTTCCAGTCTTTCTTGTACAACAATACAGCTTCATGGCTACGCAATTTCCTCTGCATGTGGCCTTAGCTGCATCCTCTTGTTTATGTTCTATGATGGTTTCAGTTTCCTGAGACTATAACTAGACTTTTCTTTTCATTTGGATATTCTATGAGGCCCCTCGAGTTATTGGAAGAGGGAGCCGCCAGCAGATAGCGCTGCCGTCAGGAGGCGCTGACTCAGGACAGAGCCTGGGGAGCAGCCCTGCCCCGGCCAGGAAAGGGCCCTGAAGGAGAGCGAGTGGGGGCCCAGAGGAGAGAACATTTCAAGGAAGATGTTTAGCACTGAATGCAATAATATCAAATTAATAGATTTTTTAAAAATCACATAAAAATGAACTTGTGAATTTAAAACAATAATGAGAACAACAAAAACTCTTCAATCAGGCCAGGCCTTCCTCTCACTCAGGTACCTGCATCCCCAGGGACACCGCACAGAGGCCTCCAACCCACTTGTTCAAAACTGAATGCACCGCTCTCCGCCCAGTCGCTGGCTCTGCCCCCACCTCCGTGCCCCTCCCTGCTCTTGGCACAGGATAACTTCAACGCTTTGCTGCTTTGTCCTAGACTTTTGTTTCAGGATGACAAGGTCTCAACTTACTGTAACTGAAGAAACTGGTCATGTATTTTGTGAGGAAAGCTAACCCTGATGCCCGTGCCGCTGGCGCCTCTGGGCCTCTGCAGAGGCTGCTGCTCTCCACCCTTGTATCGGTCAGGATAGGGCAGATTGTGCCAAGTAACAAACCGTCCCCAAACCTCAGTGGCCTCACTGAGACCATGAGCAACTCTCGCCAAGTTCATCTCATGCTTGTCCATTGCAGGTTGGCATGGGAGGATGGCATGGGGGGACTCTGCCCATCAAAGTCCCCCTGCCATCTTGTGTCACCACTCCCTACAGGCTTTAGGGTTGTCAGAGAAGGCTGGAGGGTCTGTAGGTGACATTAAATGCTGTAGCCCAGAGAGGTGCACAGCACTTCTGCTTAGATGTCACTGAGCACCACAGTCATGTGGCCTAACTTTGGGGGGTGAGCGTGAGAAATTGTAAACCCTCCTGTAAAGTGGTGGAGAGCCACATGTGGGTGAACATCAGCACCCTTCCCCGGCTCCCCCATTTACTGTGGGGTGTGAGGCCTCCCTGGACCCTCGCACCTAGCAGAGCACCCCCTGCTCCGCCTGCTGGTCTGAGGCCCACAGAGCCGGCCCTGCTCCCTTGTTTGTCCACACCCGCCACTCACTGGCCACCTCTTGCTGCCTCTGCCCCTATCTCTGCTCCTCCCCATCCTCGTGTTGTCTCTAGAGTCTTGGGGGCTGCATGGCTGCAGCCTCGGCCTGAGGGCAAAGCCTTCCCCACCTGCACCACTCAGCCATGCTGCCCCTGGTGGGACCAGAGCCAGCAGGGGTCTCAGGGCTGAGCCGACCACACCTGCCGCCCTGGGGCTGAGCGGGGGGCCTCTTGCAGACATAGTGTGCATGAACCGCGTGGAGGAGATCCTGGAGCTGGAGGCCCCAGACCACCTCCCTGCCAAGGACAGCAAGTGGGTGGTGCAGAAGTACATCGAGACGCCCCTGCTCATCTATGACACCAAGTTCGACATCAGGCAGTGGTTCCTGGTCACCGACTGGAACCCCCTGACCATCTGGTTCTACAAGGAGAGCTACCTGCGGTTCTCCACGCGGCGCTTCTCCCTGGACGATCTGGACAGGTCAGTAGGGGGGTCAGCTTGGCACCGTCGGGGGCAAGGACACATGGCGCTCCCACCAGTACCTGTAGCACGAGGCTCCGTCCTGTGTGCATGGGGCGGGGGCGGGGGTGGGGGAGGGCGCCCAGGCCATGTCTGCTGTCACCCACCACCATATGAGGCACAGATGGGAGCTCTGAGGTTCAGGGAGGTTAAATGACCTCGCTTCCCAAGGGACGGGCCCAGGCCCGCTGCCCCACGAAGCCAGCGCTCTGCACGCCCATGAAGTGCGAATCTTCAGAAAACCCTGAAAGCACCTCCCTTACACTGCCTGAGCCCCGCTACTCCATCCGGGACACCCTCACCCCAGGCTGACGGGAGAAGCGCCTGAACAGGCATCGCCCAGCCTGGCACGTCCTGACAAAAAGCCAAGGGCAGGTGTGCGGTGCACACTGCCGGTCCGCTCCGCACCCCGCCGCTCTGGGCGCGTCTCTTCTGTGTACCTGCCTCTCGTTTCTTTTTTCATGTCTTACAGAGTGTAAGTTGCCCACAGCCACAGGGGTGGCCTCGCCACCCAGAGCCAGATGGAAGGGCACCGGACTCATTTAAATGAAAATGACTATGACAGGACCCATGGTGCTTTATAACCTCCTAGATGCCACTCTGTTTCTATCCTGCTGAGAGCAAGGCCAGAGTATGAATGAATGAATTGAAAAGTTCACAGTTACTGAACCTTTCTCATGAGACCAGCTCGATTGGCATGTGCCAGTGTGGACACTGAGGCTCCTAGTTGGTGGCTCTGGGCTGCTGGGCTTCTGCTCTCTCCCCTGCCCGCACCCCTGCACAGTGCATGGGGTCCCCCAGGCGAGACAAGGGCCGGCAGGAGGGGAGCCTTCGGAGCGTGACCTTGTGCCGGGGGCAGCCGGCATCGGGTCCGGGTCCCGGGGTGGCTGGCCTGACCCGGCCTTACTTTGCAGTGCCATCCACCTGTGTAACAACTCCATCCAGAAGCACCTGAAAAACGACAGGGGCCGCAGCACGCTGCTGCCGCAACACAACATGTGGACCAGCAGCCGGTTCCGGCAGTACCTGCAGCAGAGGGGCCAGGGGTCTGCGTGGGGCGGCGTCATCTATCCGTCCATGAAGCAGGCTGTGGCCGACACCATGCAGATGGCCCAGAGCCGTGTGGAGCCGCGTCAGAACAGCTTCGAGCTCTACGGCGCCGACTTCGTGCTCGGGCACGACTTCAGGCCCTGGCTCATTGAGATCAACTCCAGCCCCACCATGCACGCGTCCACGCCTGTCACCGCCCAGCTCTGTGCGCAGGTACAGGAGGATGTCATCAGGGTGGTGGTGGGCCGCAGGGACGGCCACTGCTGTGACGTCGGCAACTTCGAGCTGCTGTGCAGACAGGTGGGGGTGCTCAGCTGGGGCCGAGGGAGGCGGGGGAACACCTGTGATCCTGCCCAGGGAAGCCACACAAGGCCCCAGCCCTGCCTGGCCAGGAGGACCGTAGTCTCGCCCTCAAGCCGGGTGTCCCGAGGGCCTGGTGCCTCCTGGGGGCCACCTCATGCAAACCAGGCAAAGGGGTCACTCCAGACTGCCCGGGGGCTCCCCTAGCCAAACCGGCCTTCACCGCCCAGCCTTCTTCCTCCTTCTCTCCAGCCCCCCAGCCTGTGGCCACCGCCTGACCTGGGCTGGCAGGATGTCCACGGCCTCCAGGTCCTTCTAGGCTGTTCCTTTGTTGACACTGCACCCTCCTTCAAGGGTCTTTCCAGGGGTCTGCTCCTCACAGGGAGTCTTCCTGCAGGGCCAGTGGCCAGGCTGGGTGGGGGCTTTGGGGCTGACCTTGGCTCCGTGGCTGGGGCCCCGCGCCCAGGCCGCCCTGGAGGAGCGACCCAGTGGGCAGCCCAGCCGTCGGGAAGGGTGGTCAATGCTGGCCTTTGAGGCCTTAGCCTGGCTGTCGGGGCCCAGGAACTCTGGGCCCCTAACCTCGCCCACCTCTCCCCAGCCCGCTGTGGGGCTGCCACCGTCCCATG